CAGGATGGTCTCGATCTCTTGACCTCGTGATCCACCCGCCTCGGCCTCCCAAACTGCTGGGATTACAGGCGTGAGCCACTGCGCCCGGCTAAAACTACTTTTTAAAAAAATTTGTTAGAAAATAAGAGTCTCATTCTGTTGCCCAGGCTGGAGTGCAGTGGGATGATGCCAGCCTCAACCTCCTGGGCTCAAGCAATCCTCCTGCCTTAGCCTCCTGAGTAGCTGGGATAACAGGCTTGTATCAGCCACCATGCCCGGCTAATATTTTATTTTTATTTTGTAGAGAGGGAGTCTCTCAAACTTCTGGTTTTTTGCAATCCTCCTACCTTAGCCTCCAAAAATGCTGGAAATAAAAGCATGACCCACTGTTCCATGGTCCCAATAATTTGTAAAACCTCAAAATGCAAGTGAACTTCTACCCCTCGCTTCTTCTGGAGATTTGAATAATCCCCAAAGGATTATTTTGCTTTAATAAACTTGTTACCAGAGCAATGAGGTCACAATGTAAACATGTATTTTCTTTCTGGGTAGACTGTTAATTTAAATTTCCCATGAGTCTATGAAAACTTATTTTAACATGCCCAGAAACAACTAGGGAATTAATTTTTTTTTAAATGAAAGTAAAAGGTTAATTGGATTATCAACCCTTAATTTACTAAGGCCCTATGGTGAAATACAATGTAACCATAAAAAAGATTAAGGTAGATTTCCATGACCTGATTTTGAAAGAAGTCTATGGCAATTATAACATTTAAATGACTGCCTTTTTATGCTTTAAAAAAAAAAAAAAGATTGTGTGCGGTATAACCCCACGTGGCTTTGAGGGAACAGTAATGCAAATGCACACACATATTTTACTATGCAATGAACAGAGGAGACCCAGACATTGTGGCTGCACAGTTCATTTTCATGTGGGGGAATTTTCAGGTGGTGACTGGCTTTTATGTGGGATAAGTGTTTCTCATATGATTAGGAAAGAACAACCCAAATTCATTTCTGAAATCAGAATAATATTAGTCATTTTACTATAGTCTAGTTGGTAATAAATATATAGTCCTTCATTTTACTTCTTAGCTGAGTGTCTAAATTTAATTTCCCATCATCCTAAAAATTATTAGCATAGTTAATATATCATTTCTATTTGCCAGTATTAATGTAATTAATGATAATGAAATAAATACACTTGAATATTGTCTAAGACCTCAAAATAGTTAATTAAATTTGGGTTGTTCTTTTCACTGTGACATATAAATTGTTAGAAATTAAACTTGTATCCTGCAATGAATAATGTTATTTCTTAAATTTTAATAGGAAGCCAATCAACTATATCCATTCTTGAGCAATACCACACAAAACAAGACCAAACCAGTCAAGAGAGATTCAATTCACTAAATCCAAAGATTCTTCTGGTATAAAGAGAAATCTAGTTAACAATGAATTCAGAATCTGGATAAATGACCCTCAACCCCTCACCCTAAATCTAGCTCAAACTGTATTTGGGCCTCAGGACATCTCAAGAAGCACTTTCAAAATAACAAAACAAAACACAGCCCATCATCTAAGCTAACTAGGTGTAATAAACAAGATATACAAGGTATCACTTAAAGGAATACAAAGTATAAGTACAAAATCAAAGTATTTTGTTAAAAAGTAACAAAAGTATCCTTAGTGTCACTTAAAGGAATACAAAGTATAAGTACAAAATCAAAGTATTTTGTTAAAAAGTAACAAAAGTATCACTTAAAGGAATACAAAGTAAAATGGATAAGAAAGCTTGATACATATACTATCTATATTATAAAGCTTGGTATCTGCAACAAATACTGAACTCTATGATAGTAAATCTTCCAATTGAATATAATCCAATAATTAATTCACAAAATCTGCAATATATCAAATACATACAAGACTTTAGAAACATCATTAAATCACATCACATTAAACATCATTAAATCACAATAAAAATTAAAAGAAAACTTTATTTTTTAAATTGCATTTTAGGTTTTGGGGTACATGTGAAGAAGATGCAAGATTGTTGAATAGGTACACACATGGCAGTGTGATTTGCTGCCTTCCTCCCCTTCACCTATATCTGGCATTTCTCGCCATGCTCTCTCTCCCCAACTCCCCACCCCCAGCTGTTCCTCCCTATTTCCCCCCAACAGACCCCAGTGTGAGATGTTCCCTCCCTGTGTCCATGTGTTCTCATTGTTCAACACAAGCCTATAAGTGAGAACATGAGGTGTTTGATTTTCTGCTCTTGTGTCAGTTTGCTGAGAATGATGGTTTCCAGGTTCATCCATGTCCCTACAAAGGACACAAACTCATCGTTTTTGATGGCTGCATAATATTCCATGGTGTATATGTGTCACATTTTCCCTGTCCAGTCTATCATTGATGGGCATTTGGGTTGGTTCCAGGTCTTTGCTATTGTGAACAGTGCTGCAATGGACATTCATGTGCCTGTGTCCTTATAGTAGAATGATTTATAATCCTTTGGATATATACCCAGTAATGGGATTGCTGGGTCAAATGGAATTTCTATTTCTTGGTCCTTGAGGAATCACCACACTGTCTTCCACAATGGTTGAACTAATTTATACTCCCACCAACAGTGTAAAAGTGCTCCTATTTCTCCACATCCTCTCCAGCATCTGTTGTCTCCAGATTTTTTAATGATCACCATTCTAACGGGCTTGAGATGGTATCTCAATGTAGTTTTGATTTTCATTTCTCTAATGACCAGTGATGATGAGCATTTTTTTCATATGTTTGTTGGCCTCATGTACGTCTTCTTTTGTAAAGTGTCTGTTCATATCTTTCGCCCACTTTTGAATGGGATTGTTTGTTTTTTTCTTGTAAATCTGTTTTGGTTCTTTGTAAATTCTGGATATCAGCCCTTTGTCAGATGGGTAGACTGCAAAAATTTTTTCCCATTCTGTTGGTTGCCGATTCACTCTAATGACTGTTTCTTTGCTGTGCAGAAGCTGTGGAGTTTGATTAGGTCCCATTTGTCTATTTTGG